CCTTTCCAAACTTGATTTACCAGTGAATGTAAACTTGGACTCATCGTGAGGCCTTGGTCGTTTTCAGCAGCTTTATCGGTTTCTAAATGCACAATTTGAAGTTAGCGATAAAAGACCCCGAGAGTGAAGAGTCAATGCTTGAAAGAAAAATAATGATATTGATAACGAATACTTTCCGTTCAAACTTGCAAACAAAAACATCAACAACTTGTGATCGAAAGAGTATAATTGAAAGATTCATAATGCAAACGAACCGAACGTCTGACTGCGTATCATCTTTAGTATGGGGCTGTTTGTCAACCCTTTTAGCCATCCCAGTGACTTGTTGGGAGTCTGAAAAATGTCATAGCAGTATTTACCGAAAAAGCTAGATATAGATACATATGTGCAGTGCAAAATTATAGCTCACAAACACAAACCGAAGGCGCACTGAACGATCTATGATCTAGCAAGCATGCAAAGCTAAGCTAACCGCTTTTACTTTATTTTCCGCTTTCGGGTTGAGCTCGTCCGCAAATGGAGTTGACTGTAACTCTGCCATAAACTTCGCTCTACTTGGGCTCATTGGCAGTTGATTAGATGGGGCCTACAATATATTTACAATGCGACAATGCGCTTATGCTGACTTCAATTTTGAGACTTTCACCTTAGGCGTTTCACATGATGCTAAAGCTCCCAAAGGATCCAGCGGATTAGTCTTACCCATGGTGTCTTCCTAAACGGTAAATGAGAATAGAATTTAGAACAATCTGCGACTAAAGTCCGAGAACCTAGAAACTAACATCATTCACAGGACAGAGAGGATCTTTTTCGCTGTCCTGGAGAGATTGATACGAGATGACGTATGGCTTAGTCTCTAATTCCAAAGCCTCCTAAAATAACAGTTTGATGACGTGAACACTCAAGCAGATATGCGCAATGCGGATTAAATAATATAAAGCAAATGCCCACAATTCTTTTCTCCTCCGCTGTTTTATCACTGTGATATCCACCATCACTCACGGAATAAGAATCCGTTGTAGGGCAGATGTTCTGAGTCTCCGTGCGCACAAATGCTTTTAGCCTCACCAATGCATGTACAAACAGCCTAAAATATGAGCTTTTACATAAAAACATTAATGATGTACACTCTGATTCAACAAGATAGACGGCTGGAGGGCGGTACATCGATCGATTAGAAAGCACGTAAGCGTGGGAAAGGCAGGCTCTGCGTCTCCTTCGCGTACGTGCTCTCAATTCGATCCAACGTCCTTCAGCCGCTTATTTGGTTGAATCAGAGGTAACATCTGCCAAAATCACTCCATTTCTGCTACGTCTCCGTAAACATCACTCATACTGTGCTTCGAAAATTCAAAAATTCAGTAGAGGCTTAAAGGCAGTGTCCCGGCAGATTTGAGGTTGGTGAG